ATAGAATTTGGGCTAATTGTGTAATTAATAGAAGTTCACTGAATCGGTTTACAATGGAGTGTTTGTACAAAAAATGTATATACAGGGTGTCCCAAAAGTGACTCCCGTCCTTCTGGGTTTTGATTAAGGGGACAAAAATAAATCGAAAATCAAAAGTGGAAAATTTTCTGATTGTTTTTCTGTTATTCAAAAAAATCATCCAAAAAAACTAAAAATAAACATTTGGACTGGCTTATTAAATAATTACGTGGTTGCGTTTGTGGACTGTGTGAGAAAAAGATAAAAAATTTCGATGGTGAAGTTGAACACTTACCCTTATTTGTAGAAAGTGTCCAAGGGCACAAAATTACCAAAAAAGGCACAAGTAAACGAAAAGTATACATTCGAATCAAAAACATAAGCGAGCGGCGACTCGATAGTCGCGTGGGTAATTTTCGAATACTTCTCTTACTCGCGGTCAGGGTCTTCGGTCCAACCTCACACCTTTTTTACCGTGAGTTTTAGCATTTAAAATAAAAATGTGGCTAATTATAAATATTGTATATAAATTAATAACTAATTAATAATAACTTGCCGCACCTGTATGTTTTTAAATGAAAACTTACCATTGTCATTGCTAGATGACGTTCCGTTAGCAGTTTCAACACGATGGAGCTGCATCACATTATGGTTTACGAGTATGAAATTATCTGAATTAAAATTTCCCAGACAGCGCTGTATTGGAATAGGTGGACCCATAGCATGGCCTCCTAGATCACCAGATTGGAATCTCTAGATTTTTCTTTTGGGGTTATTTAAAAGAAAAGATTTACAGCGAACCTGTTTTGAAATCCAGAAAATGTTGTAGCCCGTATACACGCTGCTGTCGCGTTAATAGACCAAGATATGCTACAAAGGGTTTATACGTCAATGTTGAATCGCGCCAATCTTTGTCTTGAAGTAGAGGGCAACTTTATTTGATGTTGATGAAGTTAAATCACTATTCCGACCAAATTCTGTGCGAAGCTTTCATTATTGTTAAAATATTGCTCAACAATTAAAACGAAACGAAAAAGAATACTTCGTGCTACTCAATTTTTAATAACCCTGCATTATTGACATCTGTCGCGCTGTATTTTTTCGTTGAACCCCTTTACCGCACAAATGGCGCAAAATTCAAATCTTGCTTGAATTTTGGGACACCCGATAAGCAACAAAAAATAAATAAAAAGGTGTCCTACATTTTAAATCGAAAAACGAGATGTTTTACGTACTTATGTTTTGTTTAAATTTATAACAAACCTACCAAAGAGCTGAATTAATATTAGAAACACTTTAAAATTACTGTTACAAAAAAAATACATACACGTTACGTTATTTTAAATAGTAATTATAATCAAAAGTTTGAAGTAGAAATATTCATTTTTTTTAGAAACAGTATCTCTAGAAAATTTAAAATTTCTAGGCTGATTTTGTTTTTAACTTGAATACTTGATATGAAATATCAATACTTGATATGAAATATCATTATGTTGTATTTACTTGAAATCCTGTTTCTACGAAAGCATCCTGTACATTTTTTTGCAAAATAAATAATTAAAATAGTTAGTTTCGATTTGTTAATGTTAACTGTGAAGTTACTTAACTTTAAATAAACATCTGTTGGGAATTAAAAGTATCGATCAAGTTCACAAAATAATCAGTGGCGTCTATAATTATATGACTCATCTGTCTACGTTAAATATTTTCGGACACCTTTTTTTAATCTCAACATCCTGTATCTCGAAAACAAAGAGTTTTACGCCCCATATTTTTGTGAAATTTTTTGTCAACAATAAGTTGGTAAAGTTTCCCTACCAGCTCGTAATTATTTTCACAATTTCATTGTCAAGTCTCTATGACTATGCCATGATTTGAAGTGGTTATTAAATCGAATACATACTTCATAAAAGTGTCCCACGAAGTTAAATGGATCGTTACACAGAAATAATTCCCGAGTTAACTGGATATCCCGGCTATAACAATAAAATTAATTTTATAGTTTTGTTTTGAAACGCTCTCATTAGCATATTTATAAGAAGGCTGTGACCGTTTTTACCGCCTCAGAGAATTTATTTCGCCGCTATGAAATTTTTTTAAATCTAATTAAAAAATATATTCTGCGACTCAGTTTTATGGTTAAACATACAAAATACTATTTACATATGTAATGGGATGCTGAATAAGTTCTCGCCGTTTTCCAACAGATGGCGGTACCAAAACTGCAAGCGTGTAGTTTAAGAATAAAGCTCCTATAAGCAAGCTTGAATTTCAATGTAGGTATGTTGTTTCGCCGAAGTGTAAACTACTTTGTTTTTCATAGGATGAAACAAGTCAAATTTCGTGCCGAAAAAACAGTATTTGAGGGGAATTTTACTTTATTCAAAAGAAATCTGCAGCTAAAGCACATAGAATTCTTGTTGAGACTTAGGGCGACCATGCTCTGTTGCAAACAACATGCAGAGATTTGTTTAGACGCTTCAAAAATAATGATTTTGATGTTGAAGATGAAGAACGCTCTGACGCAAATGTTTGCAGATGAAGGAGCCATTACTTCATGAAAACTCACGTTAGACGCTAGCTGAACTTGCAGAATCATAAGACGTTGATCACACAACAGTTTCGCAACGTTTGAAAGTATTTAGAATGATTCAAAAGCAGACATTCTGTGCCGTATGAGATGAAGCCGAAAGACACCGAGAGGCGGAAACAGCTGCTTCAACGGTAGAAAATTACCCCTGCAGTCTGACTATGTCTATCATATGTTTTCGGGGTCGCTGAATCCAAATTCCGGGTCCATTTAACCCCATCACGTCAGGATTTTTCATAATCTCAAAAAATAGGCCCAAAAACGCAATAAGTCCTCTATCCATTGACCACTCAATCCCAATAACCCCATAACCCCTTAACCCCTTAATTCCTTAAAACCTCAACCCTCTTAACCTCATAATCTCAAAACCCCAGTATCCGTTAAGAAAGAGACTTATGCGCGTTGAAGTCTTGAAACACAGTATGTTCGAGCCATGAACTCACATTCTTCAGTAACTCTATAACTCCGAAACCCGATAACCCGGTGAGAACGATATTTTCGTTGGTAGAACTTACGTTTTGCCAAACCCAGGAATAACGACGAGGACGTAGTAGGCTTCTGTTTCCTTTACAGTGCTTTATTAACGTGTGCTTCACACTTTTTGGGGTGCTTTATTAAATTGAGGTCCCCTTGCCTCCCACTTTTCATGGTGCTTTTTGAAAATGTGTTCCCCTTGCCTCACATGAATAGCAATGATGTGAGATGATTTGACTTAAAAGAGTTCGTACATAAGGCTATTCTTTACTGGATTATCAGGTTATGGGGTTAAGGGGTTGTTAAAGAGTATAGGCAACGAATATAGACCTCTTATAGAAGAACGCTCACAGCTTACAATTCACGGACGAAATAGAAATGTCCGTAGAGCCTATACTAGACTATAGCTGTCCTCCAAGATTACATACGATAAACCTATAACATACTATACACGTCTCCCAAGATTTCCAACACTGAGCGTTCTTCTATAAGATGTTGGTATTGGTTTAAGGCTCAAGAAGTATGCATGGCTCGAACATACTGTGTTTCAAAGCTTCAACGTGCATAAGTCTCTTTCTTACGGGGTTCTGTGATTTTGGGGTTATGGCATTTTGAGGTTATGGGGTTTAAAGGTTTAAGGGATTAAGGGGTTATGGGTTTATTGGGATTGAGTGGTCAATGGATAAAGAATTTATTGAGTTTTTGGGTCTATTTTTTGAGGTTATGAAAAAACTTGGGGTTAAATGGACCCCGAATTTGGATTCAGCGACCTCGAAAACATTTGATAGATATAGTCAGTCTCCAGCGGTAATTTTCTCGATTTTTTTTGTGGAGCTATGTAATCCTCAGCGTAGAAAATCGTGGGCCAAGGCCAAGTCATACGTCAACATCGTCGGCGAAGCCGAATATCCGTGGTACCAAACTTCTGCTCTGCATTTGGTGGGATCAACTGGGTGTAGTTTATTATGAACTGCTCAAACTGAATGAAAACATCAAGCATTGAAGGAAAAGTGATTTTGCAGCATGTTCGACTGCATGTTGCAATACCAGTGAAAATCTACTTGGAAACGTTTAAATAGGAAGTCCTACTCCAGCCGCCATATTCACCAAACATTGCTCCTTCCGATTATCACTTGTTCTGATCGATAGCACATGGCCTGGCGGAGCAGTACTTCCATTCTTATGATGATGCCAAAAAATGTGCCCACTCTTGGATAGTCTCAAAAGACGTGTCGTTTTTATAACGCGGAATTAAGATGCTGCCAGAAAAATGGAAAAAAATTGTGGCAAGTGATGGACAATACTTTCAGTGACATGTTGTTTACTATTTTTTTTAAATAAAGCATTAATTTTTACGAAAAAATAACGAGAACACATCCTATTATATGTATAGGGATTTTGGTGAAAAAGAAACGGATGTAACTAAAGTAGGGAAAACGTACCCAATAGTGCTTCTTATGATGACGGACATCGTTGCTATTCCTAGACCGCTACCTGACACTATGAAAATTTCTACGAATTCTCTTCTCCTCTTGAAGTACTGAGCCACCATCAAAGTTGAGCAGTCTCGAGTTATGCCTACACCAATACCAACAACGGTACCATAGCTGAAAAAAAAAATATATTTCAGTGGTGTTAATGTACAGAGCCCAATTAATTAGCGCGAAAAAACAAGGTGATGATTTGTTGAAAATCTCTCCACTCTAACTGCGGATATATGGCTGCAAAAAATGCGAGAGGTAGAAATAACCATCCCCACAAGTAATTTCCTGCACAACTTTTATTCTGTCCCCAATATGGTAATTTAAATCTGTTTTGGACAGTGGACAGCCTGATTTATTTGAAACAAACTTGATCTCTTCTAATCTTTATAAATATAATAGTTTTACAACAAAAAATAAAAGAGGTCACAGTGCACACACGATTTTGGTCCGTGGAAAAGCTTATGTTACAATAAAAATATATAAAATTAACAGAAATATTAATTTAATCCGGTTAAAAATTCCTGGAGATTTTTTAATTACCACGTAAATGAAAATCGAGTAAATTTCCACTCAGAATCAACACAATTTTTTGTTAAAACAATTCCAAACCAAATTGTGTTGAAATAATAACACTATTCGTTGAGTAAAGTTCACTGAAGTATGTAAATCTTATATTGATGACATTCAATAACTTTTGAGTCAGCTTACAGAAAGTAAATCAGGTGTTATTACATTAAACTCAACAAGGGTCCCATCATGCGTAAACCAAGAAGAATTGGAAGTTCTTCAAAAATTTGAGTGTATCAATTCAATCTAGGTGGTAGAAATCGTGGGTACAGAATTCCAATCCGCACATTCAAAGAAAACTAATGATGATGATGTACTTTGGCCAAGGCATGTGGTTTTTCTATTGCCCACAGGTGATTATGATGATAATAAATTATATAATTTTTTTGAAAAATGTAAACAAGATCTGTACTAAAAACCCAAGATTTTGCCAGATCTGTTCCAAAACTACTAAAAGAAGGCAAGACCCTAGACAAAATCTCGCAGCTTGGACTTATTGTATGTGAAAAGGTGAAAGGAACATAGAAATTGTTTTTTCAAGATGACCCATGCCGTTATGTATGATTGATATTTAACACCTAAGCAATTTTTCTGGTGCTGCTGACTAGTTCTTTATCAATCAAATTTAGTACTGCTTCTTCCAAAGGTTGTGTTCTAATTTCATAGGGTGACAGTTTCACGTAGGTAGTCGTTCTGAAACCATGTAAATATGGAAAAATACGTTGAAGATATATTCCAAAGTAAAATCAACGTACTTAAGAGTTACCGTTGGCAAGACCGTAAATGAAATGGATGCATGTTCCTTGACAATATGGTTTTGCGTATTGAGTAAACAAATGAATAAGCTTGTAGAAAAAACTAGACAAAGTAACAGCAACAATATGAAGAATTGTTAACAACTGTCAATTATCTGACACACCGGTCTAAAATGAAACTATTTAAAACACATTTTTTAAATGAACTAGCTAGGAAGTTGGAATCAACATTTTTAATGGTCTGAAATATTTTTCAACAATTTTAATGTAGGTTTACAGAGTATTTGGTTAACATACCTAGCATTTGATAGATAAATTAATTTGATAAATATTTAGAAATATTTTCAGAATCAACTTGAATAAACTCAGATATCGGTTTTAGTTTTAGAAAGCAACAAATAGTAAATTTTTAATCGTTCACGACTGAAATGTCATTACCACTAACTTCCATTGACATTAAGATGATTTATCTAGTACCGAGTAGTAATTTCATGGTCATAATTGTCGCTGATTCCATCTAAGTATATTAACGGTTAGAAATGTATATGAACTGCGGTAGAATAGTGATGGAACTGTAAGCTATTAAAACGTGAATTGAACTTCAACTACCAATTTAAGAACTATACAATTATTTTATGATGGGACTTTAAACTATTAATATTACATGCATTTGCTTAACAGCCATACCTTCCACTGAAAGCGACTGCTGGGATATGGAAGTTTATGATATCTGAGAATTAATGACATATTGACACATAAAGCGTTTTCTTTATATGTATGAAATCTTCAGTTCATATTTGGTCCTCTCAGACTAGTTAAATTAAAATAAGGTGGCAAACGCTATACCCAACTTGGTAATAACAGATGGGGATTCCTCTCTTCCGCGTTTTACTTGGGGTCAAAATAAGATCATTTAACTAAAGTTCTATCCATTGTTGCTTCATTTAGCCGCTAGAGTACGTCAAAGTTGGTACAAACCAAAAAATATATGGGACATTCCAAAGTAAACAGGACTTTAAAAATAAGAACAAGAAGTTTTTTTTGGCAAAACCGATTTATTATTTTCTTAATCAAATCAACATTGTCCTCACTTTTGACTTGTTCAACCACGTTTTATCAGTAGTCACAATTTTGTAAAGGAAGTTTTTGGTCGTCTTTTTGACCTCCTTGATAATGTCTTTCAAATGTTGAATTTTGAGCAGTTTTTGGTCGTCAGTCAATTTGTGTGGAACACACCGAAAAGTGTGTGCAACTTTTCGGTAGTCCAAAGCTTGTCATCAAAAAGAATCTGTGGTAACAGTATTGGATTGTTTAAAGTGGAACACGCTTTATTTTCCCTTTTAATAGTTTCTAAAAACTTTGTATTTTAATTCAGGTATTTCGAAATTAATGCAGAACTTCTCGCAATTATAATCGCTTACAAAACCACGTGAAGAATTTTCTTCTACATTTGTTAGACTACTAGCGTTAAGTTGTACTATCCACTTTTTGCTATGACGGCATGTTCTAGCTGCCAGCTGTTAAAGAGATACGAATCGTAAATATTTTATTTTTTTGCATTTTTTAAATACAGCGGTATCATTACTTGAAATTAATATTAGTAGATACATAGGTACACAAGTTTATTATGCTCTTTTATAGAAATGTGATAGTTTTAACGCAGGCATAGAAAAACAGTTACGACACATAAAACCGGAATATTCTGGCTACATTTCTTCACACAGTTAATAATCCTATTTACATATGTAGAATGGTTCTAAATCGTGCTGATATTTTTATGATCTACAAGGTCCTTTTTTCTGAAAATACCTAAAAAATTGCTATTGTTGATTCAAGAATCGATTTTTTAAATTCACCTAATATCAAGTAAATTGTTCTTCCACGAAGATTTATTATATTTTCTGAATACAATTTATTTACTTGCGTATTTTTGGATAATTTTTGAGTAAAAGCTATGTCGGTTTAAGCAACTTTTAATGTATTCAATTTAGCTACTTTCTGGAGTCAGGGGCAGAGCACCCTCAGCAGTAGTTTTACCTATAAAATTGCAGAATCTACTTTTTTAATTTCTTTAATTTATTAATTTCTATATCTGTTTTTACGATTTTTTTTTTGAAAATGATGTTCATGTTTGTTAGCTGTAAAGTATTAGATATAAAAAGGTTTAGCTGTAAAAATACCATTGTATTTATGTCACATTTAGAAATAAATACTGGAAAACAACCAGCTATCTTCACTATATGCGTTTATCTCGAAAACGGTTAATTTTACCCGTAACAAACAAATATACGTTTGTTTTTCAATTAAAAGAGTATGAAAATCTTAAAAACGAAAAAATTAAAAAATAGGTACCTATGAAAAATATATATTTTTTTTTTGGGGGGGGATGAAGGCTGCCGAGGGCGTTCTCGAAGCAGATATCGGTAAATTGAATACATTAACAGAAATACCTTCAAATAGCATAAGTTTAACGTAACAGTTATCCAAACTTAATAAGAAACAAAACATATATGTATATCCAAAAATCAAAGAAAAACAAATCACATAAACTTGCGACGTTTTTTTTGCAAGATCTGCCCAATTCCGAAAGATTGACCACCATTTTCTGGACACCCTGTACTGGGCATAATTAATTTCAACATCCTATACAGAGTGTCCCGGTACTTGATACAAAAAGTCGAGTACAGATAGATGAGGTCAAAATATTATCAGTTCTTCATATACATTTTTTTCATACGGGCCTTCGTTAACAAGTACGGGCCCTCAAAGGTGGAAATTAAAAAGTTATTTTTATTTACAGTCTCTAAACCATTAATTTCAACATGATGCAAATTTGGTGCTCGATAATACGTGCGTATAGCTTGTTTTTGATGTTGTAAGTGAAACATCACTATGCCCAGGAAGCCAGGGACGGACTATGCCCAATGGTTAACAACCCAGAATATTTGCATAGATGGCGATCGCAACCTACCTGTATCAAAAATAAGTTCCCTGAAGAATTTATTTTTTGCCAATGATAATACTCTTTTGGTCCAACTCGGTAAAATTAACAATTTAAGAAATATTTGTAATTTTATGTCGCAGTGCACATCGAGCGGTGCCTCCACCATTTTTTGTTTTTAATTTTTAATTGCACTTAATTACTATGTTAGAAGAGTACATATTTTTTAAATAAGAGCCTAGAATTCTTATTGTCTGCTAATGTAATTTTCAGTAACAAAATTTGACAAACACACTTTACGCAACACAAAATAGAAAAACAAAACAAGAACAAGTTAAAGTTAAAAAAATAATTTAAAAGAAAGAATACTATCAAAATACATTTTCAATATGTGCACCTTCCACCTCCACACACTTCCTAAGACTACGAATGTTATTTGTTTGTACACGAAAAAGCATTTCTGGGATAATAATTTAATAGGACCATACGTTTTAGAGGAACGTCTGAATGGACATCGATATTTGGAGTTTTTGCAAAATAATTTGCAGCCACTATTAGACGATGTTCCATTAGACACCCGAAGAAACGTTTCGTTCATGCACGATGGAGCTCCTCCCCATTTCACTATTGATGTACGGAATTATTTATCTATTGTAGTTAATAATAAATGGATTGGGAGAGGAGACCCAATTTCATGGCCACCACGTTCTTCAGACTTTAACACGATGACCTTCTTCCATCGTGATACTTGAAAAGCTTAGTGCACACAATCCCAGTACAGACAAAGGATGAATTGTACAAACAATTAATTTTCATTGTGATAATATTAGACATACCACAGAAATACTTTTTCGTGTACAAACAAATAACAGAAAGTGCCCATATTGAAATATGTATTTTGATAATTTTCTTTCTTTAAATTTTTTTTTAACTTACATACTTTAACTTATTGTTTCGTTTTTCTATTTTTTGTTAGTGAAAATTACATTAGCAGACAGTAATATTTTCTAGGCTCTTATTAAAAATTAAAAACAAAAAAATGGTGGATGAGCAGCTTGATATGCACTGTGACATAAAATACGTCTGGGCATAATGATGTTTCACTTACATCAAAAATAAGCTGTACGCATGTGTTATCGAGCACCAAATTTGCATCATGCTGAAGTTAATGGTTTAGAGACTGTAAATAAAAATAACTTTTTAATTTTTAAATTTGATGGCCCGTAACTTATTAACGAAGGCCCCTATGAAAAAAAAATATATATGAGGAACTGATTTTATTTTGACCTCATCTATCTGTACTCGACTTTTTTGTATCCAGTACCAGGACACCCTGTTAATCACTTACGAGTGATTTTTTTTCACTCAATATTTAATCAAGTAAAAATCGAAGTCTGAGCAAAAAATTGTTCAATGATAGTTACATTTGAATCATTAGAGAAGATGCTCAGAATAGAGGGAAAAGTAACTGATTCGATAGTTGGCAAAAAATCATATTTGAATAAAAATTATTCACTTTTGCTGTAATAGCTTCGCTTATAAAATTTAAGTTGTACTCATACCAATAGACTGAAAATTTCATTCAATCGGGTGTGGAATATCACTCAATTTTCTTTACAGTGTAACCACAAAAAAAAACAGCTACTGTGAAGAGATTTTTTTTTGTTTCCAAATTTTATTTAGGATTGTTTCATCAGGCTTCTTATCGAATGGAATTAATAAATATTAATAGAACTAAATTATATACAAACATCACACTTTTATAGAAAAAAAAGTGTCCTAAAAATTAAGCCGCTTAGGACATAGATGTATACGATCGTATTTTAATTTATTTAGTCAAAGAGTCACTTGTTTCACTTTTTCAGATGAACTGATGAACTATTTAAAATGTGCAGCTATTTTTATCAGGGAAATTGATATTCATTTCAGTTCTAAGCTGATGTAATCAGTTTAGAACTGAAAACATAGCTATATAAGATAGATTACCTGAAGAATAGCTGATGGAACTGCGTGGCGAAGGAAGTAAAGAGGCATCCGAGAGCAGTTATGAGGCCGCCCATCACCGCCGTCACCCTGGTTGATTTGCGTCGGCAAAAGGCTATGGTCACCGGCGATATGAGGAGGGCTACTCCAGTGGACATGGCACCTAGCCATCCTAAAAGAAAGAGATATTACATCAAAGTGCGAAATGTCATTTCCGATAGGATCTAACTGATGTTGAAGAGAGAGTGATTCTTCACATCATTGTAAGTAGACAAACTTCCTAAAGGAAATATCCTAAAATGTTTTGGTCTCGAAGTAAAGGGTGTTAAATATTAAATTCTTTTCCGTCTAAATTATAAATAACCTGGTTTTATTTTTTTTTTAATTTTTGTAATACAAATGCCTCATCAGAGGCATAATTTGTTGAACCTAGAATTGCAAACAAAATGCTATTTTATCAATAATAATACAGGAAACACAATAATACAATAATATTTCACATATTTAATTTTTTTTTTATATAATACTTATTGAAATACGCATTATACTTTCTCAAACATTCATATTTCATTAGACACATCCCGAAGTACAAATATTATGTGAATTTTCTGACTATTAATTAAAATTGTTTGTTTTGAAATAGAAATTACTTTTGTTATACATATATTAGTATGAAATTCAATGTTTTCTGAAGTGAAATTAAATAACTTGAAGTGCAATTGGCGCTAGCTGAAATATACCTGGAAAAGCTGTAGAAACTTTCTACCGACACCTTAAAGTTGGCAACAAACTTACGGTTTCTGCCTCTTCGATGTGGTTGCGAATTGTCTAAAAGTATTCCCTTTGTGGTAGTGCCGCAGGTGTGACCTCTATCTTAACAGCGATTACCCGGCGACCATACCCAAGCTCAATATCATAAAGCAAGAGGATATTTATTATTTGCATTTACTAACCTGAATATTGTTGTAAAAATATATTTGTGGCAATTAATTCAAGTTATATCGTCACAGATAACTAGCTACTAGCTTTAAAGATTTATTTTTAGTATTGGCGCATTCGCTATTTATTAGAAAAATAAGTTTATTTTTAATAACTATCAAATACAATATACGCTATTTATACACACTAGAGATATAACCAAGACTACTGTTGCATCTGAGAATCGAGAAATCGTTGCTATTAAAACTTATCTGGCTCATCATTAAATTAAATAAAAATGAGACGTTTTTCATCACAACTGATACTTGAATATCTTATTAAATTTATATGTACTAAAAAGAAGAACAGAGGTATTTATTTATTAAAAAAAAATGGAAAAAAGTAAGCTTTCGGAGACGTTGTACTTGAAATTGTGGAAAGGTTGATGAGAATTTTAAAATACGTCTACTTTGTTTAGCAAAATGATATAGACATTTTAAATAATGATTGTTACAGAGCTTTTTAGTATATTTCTAATAACGTGTCTTCTTTTTATTACTTGTAGGTGTTTTTTATGCCATTTCATTTTATTAAACTAGCAAATTGTTGTAATTATTTTTCTAATATTGCATTGCATTTGTTTAATTACATAAGGGTCCAATAAAAAAACTAAATATCCCAAAACTTTCACTTTCTAGTCCATATTTGCTAATTCTCTATTAGAAATGTATCGAAACGATGCTTAACTAAATGGTGAAAAACTGCATTTTATTATCATGTTTATTTTCGGAAATATATTGATATTTTTAAGGAGGCTGTACGTATTTTTTTTTAAATATCAAGGAACAGCGAAAGGACACATTTTAGACTTAATACTTAATTATCAAAGGCACTAAATTAAGTGAGAATTTGCAATAACATAAAAAGTGTTCCATTTGAAAAATATTAAGTAAGGTAACATGAAGAAGAGGAAATGGCACACCTTGTTTAATCAAAGTATTTTAAAATATGCGAAAACTGATTTCATGCATCTTTTATTGAGACAATTTTTTGTATTATTGATTTTATCCCAGATATGAAATAATTTGTATTAAGTAGAGCACCTTGTATATGGTATTCCCCCTGCAGGTGTTTTTTGTGTGTAGAAAAAAATTTTCAACATAAAAGTTGTATGAATTTTTTCGAAGCATTCGAATTTTTTGCCCGGTCAAAGAAATTAACATTTTATAGCTATAGATTGTTCATACAACTTTTATGTGGAACATTTTTAAGAAAACACCCGTAGGGACAACAACATACAGGGTGCTCAGTTTTTTCACAATTTAAAATACTTTGACGGATTTTTCCGGATCATTAGAATTTTTTACCCGGTCGAAGATATTAACATTTTAGAGCTATAGAAGTACTGTTTAAGATCTGTATCTAAACGGTATGTACAGTAAAAGCATGTGCCATAAGAATAAAACTATCAGGTAGGTACTTATTTATAGTTGGAGTTGAAAGAAGGCAAATATTATTTATTTTTCATTTTATGAAAAAGTCATATTTTGTAAAAAAATTTAGATTTTGTTCAAATGTACAAAAATGTAGAACCCCAAGTTGGGATCAGCATGATGATATATGATTTAACTTAAAATTCCATCTTGATAAGTTGTCATATCGGTTGAAAGGAAAGACGTATAGAATAGATTTCTTTTTAATGAAAGTTGTTGAGGATTTGTACATATTTTTGAAAATGGGGAAATAATTTCGATGACGTCATGAGTTTTAAATTATAGTACATTGTGTAACGCTCCAGCGTTGCGCTATGAAAATAACATCACGCTGTTGTACTATCTAGCACTTTCCGTGCATCTAACCCCCTACACTATAGGTCCCATAGCGAGCGCGCGTGATAGAAAATACTTTGTAACTTGTTTCTTTACAAAAAGTTAAGTAGGTCTAAATATGAACAAAAAAATATTCGCTGTGCAGATAAGTGCCTTTTGCGTATAAAATTTAGAAAATAATAATAAAAAACTTTTCTTTTTTTTGTGTAAGTTGTATTAGAATGTCATTAATGTTCCAAACTTTGACAATAGGTTTTAATTTTGCAAATTAATGACACATCAAACCAAAAAATATCAAAGTATGCCGATTATCTTCAAATTTGGTAAATGAACACACATTTTTTACTGTGAATAACTTTCCTCAACACAATTTTTTAAGAGTTAGGTATATGAAATGGCATTTACACAGCAAATACATTTTGTTTTGTTTTTGATAGGGTTTATTAAATACCTCGGAACTAAAAATATGCTGCAAATTAATTTTTACTCATTCGGAATCGTTTGACAAAATGTAAAAATTGCAACTTATTTTTTTTGTTGGTACCTACCTACGGTTGAGACGATCTGTGGACATCTCTTACATATTAAATTCTGGAAAAAGATTGGTTATTTATATGCTGCATAACTACCGCAGTTATGAATAAAATCAACTATATATCTATATTTGAAATAATCTCTTTGTAGACGACACCCTTATTGGATCACTTAGTACGTTTGAACATAAACAGAATTTTTTAACGAGAACCTTGTTTATAAAATGAACCTACACTCATTTGACAGTCGAATTAAGGCATACTCTGTATAATGTTAACATCGAAGGTTATTTGTATGCTATAGAAATAAGGAAAGTATTAAATGTATTCACTATCATCCAGAATACTTAGACCCTCTACCTGTTGGTTCCGCTACAGCCGTGCCGAACTTCCTGACAATCTCGACGTAGAAGAGTCCGGCGGAGCTGACCATTCCGTGGCTGAGGATATGCACGAGGACGGCGCACACGAGCACCACCCATCCCCAACCTCCCTCGGGGTAATAGTGCTGCTTGAGGGTCAGCAGCTGACGCAAGTCGGCGACCAGTCTGGCTGCCCGACTTGCCGGAGGTTCGTCCACACCTGAGCCCTACGACGGATTCAGTTCAAGTACGCGGTTGCGTCTGTTCGCAATGTCTGAGGTTGGTATGGTTTAGTTATTGAAAAATATACGATTGTAAGGCCCCGTTGTTCCTTGGATGATGTCCACAAATATTGAAGGAATAATGTTTGTTAATTTTGATTAAGCAACGCTATGTAGAAGTTTGGAAATCAAATATGTATATCCTATATGTAATAATCTAAAATAAAAAGGTTTAAACTGCGGTTTTTATTTCGTCACCGGAAAATTCGAATGTTATCACGTACTTTTTACTTCAAACTTGAAGTTATAGTCTAGTATTTATCATCCGAGTTCAGTTATTTCCACAAAAATAATTGTATTCGTCACAGTTGATTAGCCTTCCTTCCGAGACTAATTTTCTTGATTGCTCCAGACACTTTGCAGACTTTGTTTTTCTTGGCTTTTCACGAACAAAACGTTGTTTTCCTGGCTACGCCAATTTAGCCGCTTGCAGTTTAAACTTTAATGAGTTCTGCTTTCTCAGACTTAAAGTGAGTGATTGCTTATGTAGTTTATTACTCATATGTAGTTTAAGATTGAGCATTTATTGTCACAGATATACGTTTTTTTCTGAAATATCCACAAGGAGAGTTTCTTAATTTGAGAATAAAAGATTGGTATTAACCACTCATTGTTCCTTTTTGGTTGCAAAATAGTTATCTTGCCATCCTTATTTAAAATTACCTAAATGGCAATTTGTAATATTCCAAGTGCATTGTGTACTAAGGATGCTTTATTGTAGGAGAAAAAATTCACCAATCGGTTCCTTTTAATAATGCAAATCTCAGCTACAAAGGCAGACAGTAATGATAAATAAATCGAATTATAATTATTTTTATTTTATTAATTTAATTGTTTGTATACTGATCGTATTCTCAGTTTTACATAAAATCACAGGTGGCTAAGGAAAACATATTTAGGGCGTATTTTACAAAGTAATTACAATGTTATTCATACAACACGCTTCAATTTGAAAGACAGTATTGGATAAATTATTGTCTGTCATTACTTCGATGATCTATTAATAGCCAATTTATTGATTATTGCAATCTTTTAAGAAACTCTTATTAGGCAAACACATGCCTACAATGTTATATTTAAAAGTTTTTTTTATATATAACCTAATTGAGTGATTCTTCTGACTTGGTCAAAATATTGTTCAGGACTAATAATTATGATCCAGCAAATCTGGTCTAGAAGACTTTTTGCCACAAAAAAAAAATAACAAAGAGGTAGGTAAATGAATCGGAAGTTTTGCAGAATTCGTTGATGAAACTGTTGAGTCGTTTATAATAAAAATAAACTACATTATTTTATGTAAATATAACTGTCAATTAATAAAAACGTTAAGAGGAGATTGTATTAGTTTAATGAATAAATAGTATAATCAAGGTTTGATTATAATAAACGTGTAATAGTTATCAAACCCCCCAAGGCAAAATTTGTTAAATTCGGATAAGCCAAATCCAAGATAAATCATTTAAAAAAATGACATGTGCTGCCGTTGTAATAGAAAATAAAATTCGTAAGGGGAAAGTAAAATATCACTATTAATCCCGTATATCTCGGAACTAAAGTATATTTTTATGATATAGGTACCTTAGTATTAAAATAAGTTTTTTGTTTTCTCTGGCGATTGTTGAACAAACTTCATCCTTGTGATCAAGAGATTTTAGTCCTTCGCTGAATTATATAGGTACTAAATTCGAAACAGTTCTGTAAATTTTTACCAGTGAATTTTCACTTCAAAAGAGTAAAACTTAACGTTACATAATGAAATGAATCGAAAATTAATTGAATCCTTTTTGACATACCTACACACTATTAAATATTTAAATTTCTCCATTTTCCGTTAAAACTAAAAATATCAAACCTATATTAACAAAATTCTGTAGTAGTATTAATTAAGGTCCTAAAATGGTCTATTTTGATATATTAAGCAATATATTATTTTTACTAGCGGTGTAGGTAAGAGTATTAGTGAAAGCATTTAATTTTATATTATATTATTAATATCTTGAACATCACTGACATAAAAAAACACTATTCAAACATTTACCAATTTGAGACAAATAATATTTTTCTATATTTTTTGAAAAAATGCTTTATTTTCGAGTTTCTTGCATTTTTCTAAAGTAGGTAACTACTTTTTCTCAGATTTAATTTTAATATAATAAATTCTAGTGGAAGTATAGTTTTCATTCGGTTAAACAAAGTTTTCTACAGTTATTAAAAAATATATATTTTTGACAATATCCGTGAGATTTAGATCATTGATCATTCATACGTAAATTTTTATAGCAAGAGTTCAAAGGTCATTTTATTTACTCTTTTAAATTTTTGACAATTTCTGATACTAAAATTTATTGTTGTTAAAAGTTTTCAGTTAATTATTTTGTATTTTTATTATAAAAAATTGCCTTACGCAAACATTCACGCTAAATTTCGCCTGGAAATGTTTAGGAGGAATTTTCTTTGGATTTTCTTGAGACCATACACGTAAATTATGGTATTTTACTGCACTCCTTCTATACTGTGAGTCACCAGTCTTTTATTTTTTATTTTTATGTACAAAATAGTAGTAGTATTTCAGAAGTTGTAGGTGCTCGTAGCATTGTTGGAAATTTCACTAAAGCAACTTCAAAATATTGTGCGATTAAATCTTTAAGTGAACCACAAATAGTGATCTACCGAACGCATCTCCTTTTATACTTTACCCTTTACCCTCGACATGAAAGAAAATCAATTACATCAGATTTTGGTGAGGCTTATTATTTTTAATACATAGTTCACTTGAAAGGTCTATTTGGGTCCCACCACACAGTTAATGATTATGCATAGAACAAATTGGTGGCCAATATGAATATTTATTCCAGACATGAATAAAATTTTTTATTTCTTAAGTTAATGAACTATTTTTTTCATGTTGAAAAGGAAGAAAAACGTGGGCAAGTATTAAAATATCTTCTTATGTTTCATAAGCTGTTAAGTAACAGTAATTAATGCTGATTTCAAAAATCGAAAGATATACAGTGTGTTTCGTTTAAAAAAACATGTTTAGTTCTCATTGATTTTTGAGAAAACCCTGTACAAGGAAGCTTGACATTTATAAACAATGACCCTGTACATATTCGTTATTCATCAATGAATTAGGCATAATAATTGTTATTATGCCTACTAAAGTATAAAATAAATTCACAGGAAACACAACACTTAAAATGTTTAGTTAAATGTCAAATTCTGAATAAACTGTTAAAGTAGATGTAAACAAACGTGTTGAATTTAACTTGAAAGGATTTTCGAAAGGACCATTTTCAAATCTCATATATAATAAATTTATAAAATAAATATTACTATTTTGAGGTATATTTATTAACACACCTAAAAATATGCTGTTCCACCCTATGGCCCATCCAAATAAGGGGAATAACTTGCTAATGATTACGAAAATATTGAAATATGCAGCAATATAGTGGCCCACCTGCAAAAATCATGTCTCCCCTTTCGGCTCACGCAATTTCAAAAGTCTGGTCACGTGTCTGCGAATCACCTTTTATAATACACTACAGTACTATTGTTTAACCATAGAAATATATCACCTCAGCAATGTTATTTCTCGTTGCTGGTCTAAATGTGACGGTTTCAAATATTCTATTTTCTGTATCCGTTGCTTCGCGGCGTAGAGCGGAATGAAGGCAGTGGCATCCACTTTTAAATAAATTTACATCGCCTCAAACGTTTTTATGGGCACTAAATTTCCGATTAAATCACGGTGCAGACGTCCACGTCTTCTGCCACCAATAAATCATTTTGTAACACGCTTTCTGGGACCATAATTCATTCCAGCAACATACCAACCACAGACAGAGATAATTACGAACAGTTGTAGCTAATTTTAATAAAGCGAATAAGACGAACGTTACGTTTGGTAGTTATAGGGTTAAAAATGGAAATTTCTTTCTCAATGTTACAGAGTGATAGATGCAGTTCAGCATTCGCAGTGGGTTAAAAAATGGATGAAAATATGCAAGTAAAAGGCGTTTGTGATAATTAGTTTGTCCATAAATTATAATTGTCTTCTAAAAATGTTTCACAGTTAAAGTAATTGCTTGTAGTGATTTATATCGCATACACAAGTATGAAATCATTTACAAACCCACTGACAAATGCGATTTTAAATGAACTGCAATTTATATAAAACTGAAAATTTTTGGCTTACAATTTTAATGATCGTATTTAGAACCGATAAATTCCAAATTATAAATGCTTATTTGTTCATTAGTGTTATCATAAAAATTATTTAAAAATTATATAATAATAATGAGGGAAATCAGAAAAGATATTTATTTAATTGGCTGCATATTTCTTTGATTCTTTTTTAAAAATCTCAGTTACCTACAATAAATTTTTCAGTAACGACGGGATTAAAGTTGAAATGTAAGTATGGAATTCTCATTAAATTTTTAAAGATCAAAATTACATTGTCATTGTATAGAATGAGTTAATTTCATGTAATTTCGGGGTATTTCAGACAGAAATAAATTAATAATGTTCTCGAGTTCGATTTTTAAGCACACATTGCAGAATCGATCCTCAGTAGGAGAAATGGAGACAAATTGAATTTCGTCGATTACAGCGCCATCTTAGCCGTATAATTCGAATCTGCAATAAAAAATGAGAATTCTTATTTAAGATTTCATAGTTACCCCCCTCACCACCTAAAAGGGGTGGGGGAATTTTTGCACTAGTGTATTTCCCCTGCGGAATGATTCATTTTTGATAATTAATTTTTTTTCATAGGGTGTTTATTTCTCGAGATATTTGTAAGTTTCAGGTTAAAAAAACACCCGGTATACCCCAGTTCTGACAAATTTTTCCAACAAATCTCAATATGAAACGTACAATAACAAAACTTTAGATACGATAAATTATTATTCACCATTTTCTTCACAAGGAACGCTTAAACATTTACATCTACTTTTATACAGGGTGTTCTTTCTTTGAAGGCGAATAACTCCACAACGAAATCCAATATATTTTTTTTTTATGAAATACTATAACTATTTTGACCTCCCCTGTACAATTCTTCACTTTTGACATGACCCTTCCAAACATCCTGTATAATGTTAATGTTTTTTTTGCGAATTTCGATACTAAGCTGAAACGGCAATAACAATGACGAAAAAAATCATATAAATTTAAATTATTCAGACACTACTCGTACATTAAAAACTCTTACGGGCCTTTCGATAGGTTTTTGTTCGACGTTATGTGACACAACGTAGACGATTGAGGGAATAGTGTTGTACCTAAACCATACATTGAAACCTTTGAACTTACAATAAACACTTTTTGAACAAATTTAGAAAGAATGTTTTGTTGATAAAGTATCGATATAGAATTTCACGTTGGTTATATCTGAAAAAATAGATAGATATATTTAAATAAATAAGTGTGAAAAAGATAAAAGTGTTGTTCATTCTGAAACTAAAATAGTCGCAATATTCTGCCAACTTCGCTGATAAGGCTGAAATATTTTTACCATACGCAGCCTACAGAGTTTACAATAGCTTTACTTCCGGTTAACTAAAAAATAAAAAAAAAACGATAATTATTATAAAACACCAAAAGGTTAAGTGTATTACATTTTATTGGCAGACTTTTCTTAGCATAATATTAGTATTGATAGATTTTAAAGTTTTTAAAATAAGACAGGTGCTATCTGACATGACAAAACTTTATACCTATGTAACAGCTCTGAAAAACTAGTTTCTGTCAATTTATTCGCCATGTCAAAGTAAAAGAAGCAAAGGAGTTAAATCAGTGCGACTTCAAATGAACATCCTTTGAGTAATCTTTGTACGATCTGTTTCATTTTGCCGGTGATTGCAATCGAATTTACGAGCCAATTCGTCAATCAAGATCTCGTTCGTTGAACTGATTCCTTTACAATTTAATGAGATAAATTTATCAACAAATTTGGACAATTTCGTCATAAACAGAAACGTCGCTATAACTCCTGAATACCGAATTTAAAATGTAGTTTCAGAGAACGGTGATACACTACATATTTAAATTAAAATTCTTCGTATATTCTAACTACGAATTTTTGATTTTGGATGACTAATAAATATCCGATGTTTAAATTGCTGATCTATACAAGGTGTCCCGCATAAGAACCGACACAGAACAGGTGCATGTGGGGTGCTAAAAATATTTTAATTTAACCAAATCTACCTATATACAAAGTAGGCTGTGTTATATGCCTTAAACATGAGGCGCCAAATTTAGAAAAAAATATCTATTCGATTTCTTCTTATATTTTTCCAAAGAAGACAACTGATATTAAATTTATTTACAAAATTATGAGTATATAATTTCATTCAGTAGGAATTATAACGGGTGTTTTTTTAATCTGAAACTTTCAAATATCTCAAGAAATAAGCACCCTATGAAAAAATGCCAATAACAAAAAATGCATCCTTCCTTGTAAGGGCGGAGGTGTGTAACTTATAAATCTTAAATTAATAGGAATTACCATTTTTATTACAGATTCGAATTCTACGGCCGACGATATTCAATTTTTCTCCATTTCTCCTACTAAAAGGCAGGAGCGTTTTTAGACATCTAAAAAAAGGTGTAAATGGTACAAAACTGGGATTCATATTCCATCTTTGAAGAATTGTAGAACCCTTGTTTATCGTTTTAGAAAAATCTTACTGTTGTCTTTTTTAGTTTCTTTTATTCCTTGTACAACTGAGTGCATTACGATTATAAGTTACTCAAATTTGTCTGGACTATTTTGTAAATCCCACTTCTGATTCAATAAACTGAACCACCTGCGTTTCTGGGCAAATACTTATTTCGCCTTTTAAATCAGATAAGAGAAATTTCCACTTTAACCCTTGAAGACCCTCCCGGTCCTTCAATGACAAACCCCATAGTAACTCCCGAGCCCCGAATCGTGGTGAGACAGCTGCGGCAGACTCCTGGACCGCGAGAGACCGCTGCGCCGTGGCCGCTCATCGCTCGAGAGCTCCTCGTCGGTGATGGCCATACCGCCTACACCTCTGGCTCGAATCCGGACCGGCCGTATCACTCTTCAGGCACATTCTTCAAACGCATAAGGGCACGCGCGGAGATGATCCTAGTTGGCTATCTATAAGGAGAATGGAGGATGCGATGTTGAATTTTTCTGATGATACACAATCATATGACACTCATACGAGAGGTTAGAAAAAGGAAAAATCATTAGTTTGACGGATTAACTTCGAATTTGTTACGTTAAATCAAGAGTTTTTAACTAGTGCTATTGTCAAACAACTACTCCAAGGCCTATATGTACAGGGTGGGCCACAAGTAATGCCTCGGTCGCTAGTGACCAAACGGCAAATGTTACAGAAACCTGTTTAGGTGAGTTTGTGTAGGTTGATTACGGCTACATTTTAAAAATATTTTGAGATATACAGGGTGTCCAGGAAAAGCGAACCATATCAAAGTTATGTTTTTTTAAATGGAACACCCTGTATTTTACTGCATTTTTGAAAGCACCGTAAAAAAATAGGTGAACTTTATTAAAGGTTCTGCATACCTAGGACTTACAGTTTGTGAGATATTTCAATTTTAGTGAAAATGCAGGCATAGCGTAGAAATTTAATATTAGCAATAAAAAAATAATTTTAAGGAAGCAGCTTTGGAGGGTCTATTTTAGATCCTTGAAGTTATAAATTGTTATATTTGTCGTCACTTAGTATTATACAGGGTGTTCAAAAAACTGCTGAATACTTCTCTCAACTTTAAACAGCAATAACTTGGTTATTTTAAATGGAACACCCAGTATATTTTTACTTTGGGAGTTGGGAAATTTAAAACTCTTTCAAACTGTGTATAGGTTCCCTATACCTATCTCTAACGGTATTGGAGATATTTGTGCCGTTTCGTTTTTTATCGATTTTTTTTGTAAGATGTATCCACGTGTCTTTATCGAGGTCTTTACTGAATTGGTTTGGGTTCTTCTTGATGACGTCTCTTTAAATATATTGAGAAAAATGAGGATGCAATTAGATGGCGCACCTGCAAATTTTTCATATTCAGTGAGAAATTATTTAAATCGAAAATTTAGTAATAAATGGATAAGTAGGAATGGTGCATGTCAGTGGCCACGTAGGTGTCCAGACCTCACCGTAATGGACTTCTTTGTTGCGAGCTATATAAAAAATCTTGTATACAATGTTCCACCTATTACTTGCGATGATATTGGAGGGAAGGATTAGAGATGCATTTGCGTGAGAATATCATTTGAAGATAGAATAAGATGCTGTATTCAGGAGAATGGTTATCAATTCGAACATCAATTAAAATTTTTCTTTGTTTTTTCTAAAAGTAAAAGTTCCTTTTATCATTATCATGAAAATATTCAAAAAAGTTTTCTAATAAAAAATATTATTTTATAAGCAGAATAATTATAAAAAGTTATTAATTTTGTATAAATATGTTTGTAGTAAGTAACTGAATTATTTATGAACATGAAAAATATTTATTAAAGAAAATTTTACTTTTAGAAGAAACAAAGAAAAATTTTAATAGATGTTCGAATTGATAACCATTCTCTTGAATACAGCATCTTATTCTATCTTCAAATGATATTCTCACATTCCTTAGAATATTTGGGGTGATTGTGGCAAATGCATATCTAATCCTTTCCTTCATATCATCGCAAGTAGTAGGTGGAACACTGTGTACAAGATATATTTTTATACAGCCCGAAACAAAGAAGTCCATTACGAGAGGTTTGGACACCTGTGGTAGCCACTGACATGGACCATTCTTACCTACTCATTTATTACTTAATTATCGATTTATATAATTTCTCACTGAATATGAAAAATGTGCAGGTGCGCCATCTATTTGCATTCACATTTTTCTCCTTATATTTAAAGAGACGTCATCAAGAAGAACCCAAACCAATTCAGTAAAGACCTCGATAAAGACACGTGGATACATCTTACAAAAAAAATCTATAAAAAACGAAACGGCACAAATATCTCCAATACCGTTAGAGATAGGTATAGGGAACCTATACACAGTTTGAAAGAGTTTTAAATTTCCCAACTCCCAAAGTAAAAATATACTGGGTGTTCCATTTAAAATAACCAAGTTATTGCTGTTTAAAGTTGAGAGAAGTATTCAGCAGTTTTTTGAACACCCTGTATAATACTAAGCGACGACAAATATAACAATTTATAACTTCAAGGATCTAAAATAGACCTTCCAAAGCTGCTTCCTTAAAATATTTTTTTTATTGCTAATATTAAATTTCTACGCTATGCTTGCATTTTCACTAAAATTGAAATATTTCACAAACTATAAGTCCTAGGTATGCAGAACCTTTAATAAAGCTCACCTATTTTCTACGGTGCTTTCAAAAATGCAGTAAAATACAGGGTGTTCCATTTAAAAAAACGTAACTTTGATATGGTACGCTTTTCCTGGACACCCTGTATATCTCAAAATATTTTTAAAATGTAGCCGTAATCAACCTACACATACCCACCTAAACAGGTTTCTGTAACATTTGCCGTTTGGTCACTAGCGACCGAGGCGTTACTGGTGGCCCACCCTGTAGAAGTAGAATTTCAGAAAACAATATTTCTTTTTCAGAAACTATTAAATGTATTTTAAACAGTAGGAAACTAATTACTATTAGTATCCAACAGTGTATAAAAGTGAAGTAATAATGGAATAATGAATTATACGTTACATATCCTGAAATAGAAATTACATTTTCTCAATCAAATCATGACTATTCTGAAATAGACTTGACGTTTGCTGAAATAAGGCATATAACTGGCAAATAATTAAATTTTATTAAATTATTTCTGAATAATGCAGGAAAATATAATAGCTATCATAACTTCTAGTAAAAATGTCTCACTTCCCATTCGCGTAATAGTTCACCTAAGTTATAATAACTTCTAAGTAATTGTTTAGTTGTGTTAAACTGGGGATCCATAATATTTAATTTAATTCTGCTTTACTTCCAAAGCACAGTGCAACTTTATGCAAAAGTTCCATTAAGTTGGTTCAGCTGGGTAAATATTACTAAACTTACTTCACATTTATTGTTGTTTGGAAACAATTTACTTATTTATTAGGGGCAAAAACATCGAGGTCGATATTCACAATAACTAAATTCACTTAAAGCAAAAAGGTGGTTAATAATATTTTAAAACTTTCTTGTACTTGTAGCTGAAACGCGAAAACTTTTCTGATATACTAGGATTTCCAACTAAACGGATATATTGACAATCAAACAACAGTTGTGCTATAGTCTGGCAGACCTAATAGTGGCTCGCCTAGGCAACAGGCAATCATTAGATTAAATTATTTTGTTACAAATTAATTATTTGTTTTGAGATACATTTAGAAGAAATTATAAATTAATTTAAAAAAAATACCGCCGCCAATAATGGCTGTTGTCGCTCAAAAAATGATACTAACTTTAAATCATGATTTAAATGAAAACATTCTTTGTAAAAATAGATAATGTGGTATTTTGGGAAAAACAAAAAATAACACCATTAAGAGACCGTTTTTAATAAAACCAGATAACAAACATCTTAACCCCTAAACAGCCATATTCACAGCAAGTGGTAAGAATTTCACTATAAGATGGATGATAACGGATAATGGACGAATGAATACTTTTTTTAGTTACCATAATTTTTAAAACCTTTCTTAATGTTAATTTACTATTTTTATTTTATTTTATTTAATACACTGTTCAACAGGTACTACCCAATTATGGAACAGGGATTTTACAGACAGTAATAAAACAAGTAAAAAATTACAAATTAATTAATTAATTACAAATAAAATTAAAAGGAACAAAAAAATACAGACCATCATAAAAAAGAAGGAATTAAATAAAATCCATACACTAAATAATACACATAAATGAAGATTAAAATTACATATTTGAAACTACTAGGCATTAAAAATAAAGTATTTTTAAGTTATTAAGGCTGCAGTTAAAAATATTTACAGATTTTTTATTACATGTTGCAGATTTCATAAAGTGGTGAATGTTTAAGTACATTAGTATGAGGAGTTAGTAAATAAAATGTTCCGTTTTCTCTAGAGCTAAGTCTAGGTATAGAAAATGATAATTTGGTTATAAATTCCTGCAGTCAGCCAAATTACGGAAAATTTTAAAAAGAAAGATCTGCGAAAAGTATTTCCGTCTAGTTTCAAGGCTAATAAAGGAATGTCTACTTAAAAGATCCTCATGCGGATATCCGATATGAGGATAGTAGCCATCATATTTAAAATTTAAAAATTTAAAAAATCGACGCTGATTCGATTCCAGTTTATTAATGCGGACACCACTGTGCGGAGACCATACGGGAGAGGCATATTCAAGACAACACTATCAATATGATTATTAAATTATACCTAGTTTTTCATTAAATACAACGCGCAGGTCTCGAAATGCTGTAATTAAGCATAATGCAATTGAACTTGCTGTAGAAAGACATGGCATTACATTTTTCCGTATTTAACATTAGCCTGTTATTAGTACACCAAGATTTTATATTAAGAAGGTTTCGTTGAAGCTGAATACAGTCATTAATGTTGCGAATTGAGCTGTATATTTTCACATCATCGGCTAAAGAAGAAAATTTACATCTAAGTTGTTAATAAATATAATGAATAGTAAAGGTCCAATAATGGAACATTGAGGAACTCCTGATGTAGCGACATACTCAATCGATTTATAATCGATTTTTATATAAACTATATACTGTTTCCTGGTGTCTAAATAAGATTTGAAGAAATTCATTAAGGCCTCTGATACGTCAAACATATCAAGCTTCTGGAGTAAAAGTGAGTGATCAAGCCTATCAAACGCCTTGCTGAGTTCAGTATATATGACATCAGTTTGTAAATTGTTATCTATAGAATCAGCTATAAATTGTGTAACACTGATCAGGTTAGTGACAGTACGAGTAGAACGTCCTTTCATAAAACCATGCTGACAGGGTGTCATCATATTGGAGATGTTATAATAAATATATCATGAAGTAATATTTTAAAAACTTTACAAAAATTACATATAATGGATATAGGACGAAAATTAGTAATGTTAAATTTATCACC